TCTTGCTCTGTCACCAGGCTGGAGTGTAGTGGCGTGATCTTGGCTCACTGCAACCTCCGCCTCCTGGGTTCAAGTGATTCTCATGCCTCAGCCCCGAGTTGCTGGGATTACAGGCACATGCCACCAGGCCCACCTAATTTTTGTATTTTTAGTAGAGATGGGGTTTCACCATGTTGGTCAGGCTGGTCTCAGACTCCTGACCTCGTGATCCACCCGCCTCAGCCTCCCAAAGTGCTGGGATTACAGGCGTGAGCCACCACGCCTGGCCCATCTTTGGCACTTTCATATCAAAGTGAGGCTGGCCACATGAATGAAATGAATAGAAAATGTTCCCTCTTTTTAAATTTTATCTTTTCCAAAAACTAAGTTTTTGGATTCTCTGTTGTTTTTCTGTTCTTTATTTCATTTACCTCTGCTCTAATCTTTATTACTTAGCTCTCTGTACTACCCTTTAAAAAAAATGGAGATGAAGTCTTGCTATGTTGCCCGGGCTAAAGTGCAGTGGCTATTCACAGATGCATTCATGGCGCACTACAGCCTGGAACTCTTAGGCTCAAGTGATCTTCCTGCTTCAGCCTTCTGAGTAGCTGGGACTATAGGCATATACCACCATACCCAGCTTTTCCACTACCTTTTAAAAAAAAAAAGCGCCGGGCGCGGTGGCTCAAACCTGTAATCCCAGCACTTTGGGAGGCCGAGATGGGCGGATCACGAGGTCAGGAGATCGAGACCATCCTAGCTAACACGGTGAAACCCCGTCTCTACTAAAAATACAAAAAACGAGCCGGGCGTGGTGGCAGGCGCCTGTAGTCCCAGCTACTCGGGAGGCTGAGGCAGGAGAATGGCGTGAACCCAGGAGGCAGAGCTTGCAGTGAGCTGAGATCCGGCCACTGCACTCCAGCCTGGGCGACAGAGCGAGACTCCGTCTCAAAAAAAAAAAAAAAAAAAAAAAAAAAAAGCTTACTCTTCTTTTTCTAGTCCTGTAAGTTATACCGTTAGATTATTTATTGGAGATCTTTATTCATTTTCAATGAAGGCATTCTCACTATAAAATTTTCTCTTGGCACTGCCATTGCTGCATCTCAAAAGTTTTGGTGTGTTTGGTTTCTGTTTTCATTGGTCTCCAGGTATTTTCTATTTTCTCTTGTGATTTCTTATTTGACCCATTGGTTGTTGAAGAGTGAATTGTTTAATTTCCGCATATTTGTGAATTTGCCTTCTAATATTGACTTCTAGTTTTATTTTAGTGTGTTAGGAAAAAGATACCTTTTATGATTTCAGGTTTTTAAATCGTGTGAAGATTTGTGTCTTAATTATGGTCTGTGCTGGAGCATGTTCCGTGTGCACTTCATCAGAATGTGTATTCTGCTGTTATTATGTAGAGTAGTTGTTTCATTGTGTTGTTCAAGTTCTTTATTTTCTTATGGATCTGATGTCTGGTTGTTCTATTCATTTTTGAAATTGGAGTAGGAAGTCTCAAACTCATATTGTAGAACTGACATTTCCTTTTCTTTTTTTTTTTTAGACAGAGTCTTGCTCTGTCACCAGGCTGGAGTGTAGTGGCGTGATCTTGGCTCACTGCAACCTCCGCCTCCTGGGTTCAAGTGATTCTCATGCCTCAGCCCCCCGAGTAGCTGGGATTACAGAAATGCGCCACCACACTCAGCTAATTTTCGTATTTTTAGTAGAGACAGGGTTTCACCATGTTGGCCAGGCTGGTCTCGAACTCCCGACCTCAGGTGATCCACCTGCCTCGACCTCCCAAAGTGCTGGGATTACAGGCGTGAGCCACTGTACCTGGCCTTCCATTTCAATTTTTAAAATGTTTGCTTCATCTATTTTGGCACTCTGTTACTTAGTGCAATTATATTTATAACATATATTCTGTATGATTTGAGCCTTTTATAAAGTGTTCTTCTTTGTGTCTTTTTAACAGTTTTTGACTTAGTCTATTTTGTATGACAATTGTATAGCCACACCTGCTCTCTTTAGCTTACTATTTGCATGGAATATCCTTTTCTTTCATTCTCTTTCAACTGACTTGGGTATTGAGATCTACAATGAATGTGCTGTAGACAGGATACAATTTGATTGTATTTTAAAAATTCATTCTCCCGGCCGGGCGCGGTGGCTCAAGCCTGTAATCCCAGCACTTTGGGAGGCCGAGACGGGCGGATCACGAGGTCAGGAGATCGAGACCATCCTGG